AGAATTCATTGGTGCTGATTTTGAGGCGGTGCTGAAGAAGAAGGGGATCCAGCATCAGCTCACGGAGCCCTACAACCCTCAGCAGAACGGTGTGGCTGAGCGGTTCAACCGGACCCTGCAGGAAGGTGCTCGCACTCTTCTTGGGCGTGCAGGGCTGCCGGATCCGTTTTGGGTGACTGCACTGCGGCAGGTCGCCCTTGTGAAGAACAGGGTGCTGGCAACTGTGGGGGACAAGCAGTGGGTACCCTACACCAAGTGGTATGGGAGTGCACCAGTAGTCAACATGCTGAGAGCCTACGACTACATGGTGGTGTTTCATGTGCCGAAGGAGAAGAGGGGAAAGTTGGAGGCTTCTGGGAGATGGGGTGTGCACTTGGGGCTTGCTAAGGATCACAAGGGCTGGTTGATATGGGACTTGACCAGCCAGCAGCTGACTGTGTCGAGGGATGTGAAGTTCCTTGAGTCCTTGTACTACAAGGAATGGAAGCAGCAGCAGCAGAAGCTTCGTACTACAACGCTGATCATTGAGGCTGATGAGGTGCAGCGGCCTTCGAGGCAAGTGCAGGTCACTGTCTCAAAGGAGGAGATTTCTGGGGTGACTGAGGATGGGGGAGAACCTGAGGTGGAGGAGCAGCAACAGCAGCAGCAGCAGCAGCAGCAGCAGCAGCAGCAGCAGCAGCAGCAGCAGCAGCAGCAGCAGCAGCAGCAGCAGCAGCAGCAGCGGCAGCAGCAGCACCAAGATGCTCCACAAGGTGCCGCACGTCCGGCTGACCGTCCTAGGAGGGATGTGCGCCCTCCTTACCGGCTGACCTATCCGAGTTTTGGCAAGCCAAAGGTGGTACGGGCTGGGAGTGTGGCTGACCAGTGTGATGAGGAGATAGCACACTGCTACTGGGCAGCCGTCCCTGAGCCCAAGACGCAAGCTGAGGCATTGAACGGGCTCGATGCTGAAAAGTGGAAGCAGAGTGTGAAGGAGGAGTATGACTCTCTGCTTGAGAATGAGACGTGGGAGCTGTGTGAGCTGCCTCCTGGGAAGAAGGCCATTTCTTCCAAGTTGATCTTCAGGCATAAGTACGGACCTGATGGGGCGCTGACCCGCTACAAGTCAAGGCTTGTGGCTAAAGGGTTTCAGCAGACAAAGGGGAAGGACTTTGACGAGATCTTTGCTCCTGTGGGGAAAGGCACAACACTGCGGGTGTCATTGGCAATGGCAGCAAACCGCGGATGGCGGGTGAAACAGATGGACATTACCACCGCCTTCATCAATGGGATAATTCTGGAGGAGCTGTACATGCTACAGCCTGAGGGACTGGATGATGGGAGCGGCAGGGTGTGCAGGCTGAAGAAGGCCATCTATGGCCTGAAGCAGGCTCCTCGCGCCTGGTACCACAAGCTGGAGGAGACACTGCTGGCTGGGGGATTCAAGAAGAGTGACTGCGATCACAGCCTGCTCCTGCTTCAAGACAAGGAGCAGTTCCTCATGCTCCTAGAGAAGACGGATGGCACCAGCATTGGAGGCTATGTGTGCCTGTTTGGAGGTGGTGCAGTGAGCTAGCGCAGGAAGAAGTAGAACGAGGTGGGGCAGTCCTCATGTGAGACGGAGTACATGGCCCTGCATCATGGGGCAAAGGAGGTGGTGTGGCTGAGGCGTTTGTTGGAGGAGTTAAAAATTTGGTCAGAGAGAGCCGTCAATCATGTTCTGTGACAATGAGTCGGCAGTGAAGCTTGCCAAGAACGCCTGCCTTCATGGGCTGATGAAGCACATCAGGCCCAAGTGGCACTGGGTGAGGAGGCTCCTGGACAAGGAGGTGCAGCTGGAAATTGTGAAGACCCATCAGTAGGCGGCTCACATTCTCACCAAGCGCCTGGCTGAATCTGAGCATTGGAAAGGCATGAAGCTTGCTGGGATGAGTGTGCATTGAGGGTGCATGTTTGAGCTATGGCATGTGGGATGATGGTTGGCAGCCAGAGGTGGAGTTTGTTATGTAATGCTATCATTCACATTCACGTCTGTATGCCTCCCATCATATGTTCGTGCGTTGCATGCGTGGTGTGAGCGTGTGCAAGAATTTGTGTTTGGTGTGGTTTGGATTCTCTGAGTGTGTGTGAATGTTATTTGGATTGAGCAGATATCTGAAGTGACTCCTCTGCTCAAGAGCTTTCCGACGAACCATGTATCGCTTCAATCGGAGCATGAACAAGAAAGTTACGAACGTTGGAAGTTCATATGCTTTTGATATTTGGTTGTGGTGATTATGGGAAGTTGTGGAGTTGGCTCCATAAGGAGTACAGACTTTTGGGGGTTGGTAAATTCGTCACTACTACGGTAGATGATGCCAAGTGGTTGGGAGAAACCAAATTGGGTTGGCAAGTGTGGCCAACTTGGGTGAGGTGGATTGTGGAGGTTGGGAAAGTGACTAGTTGGGGTACCCATAGAGAGGGGAATTGTGTGGCATGGGGTTTCCTTGGTTGGGGACTCTCTTGGAACCTTCCCTCTCGTCCTCCTCATCCCCTCCCACCTGGTTAATTGCTACTCTAACTTCTTTGTGTGGTAATTGTGGAAATTGTGAGAACTCTTGTGATTGAGTTAATTTTCTATGGCAGCATACCCCCCTGTGCGCTGAAATTCATAACTCAAGAAATACTTATCTTTTTGTACGATTCAACTTGGGAATTGTAGCTGTGCTTAAGAGCTACAATATATCTGAGTTTCGTGAAGTTTTGACTGTGCGTTTTTCGTCGACGGCGTTTCTTGTGAACTCGACGAGTCTGTCCAGAATTCTAAGCCAAGGATTTTGTGATTTTTCGGCCTCTAAGCTTCATAGACTCCGTCTTTAGTCTCTAACAAACACCACCAGCCCCACCTGAGCCGGAGAGTGATGACGACGACGTACAGGAGGTCATCCTGCAGCATCGCCACGATAGCACCGGAATGCAACTCCTCGAGCTTCACGCCGCCACCTCAACGGCACCGCGTGCCATCAAACCAAGGAATCCGCGCCAAGCTCTCTCACGACCGCATAGCAAAGAGTGGCGCGAAGCAATGGATGCCGAAATCAAGGCCCTCGAGTCCCGAGATACCTGGGTGCTCGTTGACTGCGCCGCAATCAAGGGTGCAAGGATCCTCTCCGGCAATGGGTCTTCCGTGTGAAGACCGCAGCGGACGGCACGATTGAACGCTTCAAGGCGCGGTGGGTCGTGCGTGGCTACGATCAGAGGTACGGGATTGACTTCGATCAAACATTCGCGCCCGTAAGCCGTCACACCTCCGTCAGAATTTTCCTCGCCATCGCCACCGCTCCGACAAATCGACGTGAAAAACGCGTTCCTATGCGCATTAGTAAATGCGGTGATCTACGTGGAGCAGCCGCACACTTAGGGAGAAGGGGACTCGCGATTGTGCCAACTGCGCAAATCGCTTTTCGCGATAAAACAGGCACCAAGGCTCTGGTAGCAGTATCTGCCCAACATTCTGCTCGAAATCGGCTTCAAGCAGATGCCCCACGACCAGGAATGTACTGCCGCGATTTCCGCGGGGATTACATTCCGCTCACCGTCTACGTCGACGATTTGCTGTACACAGGGTCAAGCAAGGAACTGCTCGAGCAGTTCGAGAGGAATCTGGCAGGGCGCGTCGACATCACCTGCAACTACGAAGTGAAGCAGTTCTTAGAACTCAATATCTCCTACGAGCCGACAGCTATCCACCTCTCAGCGGCTAAGTATGCAGAGGAGCTTGGGAAACGCTACAACATTTCCCCTGGACCGCTTTCCACCCCTTACCGCACTCCCAGACCGAACCACAAACCTGATAACAAAGCCCTATCCCCCGCTGGCATTCAGACTTATCAGCAGCAGCTGGGATGCTTGCTCTTTGCCTCTGTCACCTGCAGGCCCAACCTTTCCTACATTGCGAGCCAACTGGCTCAGTATTCTCGTAAACCAATGGCTAAGAACCTTCTGGATCTGCAACGGGCTCTACAGTTCTTCGTCTCAATGCCCAAGATTGGGCTCTGATACTCGACAGTACCAACCCCATCCTTCAACCTCATCGGCTACGTGGATGCTGATCCAGGATTGGCTTCCTGTTCCGCCTCGAGCCGACGGGACCACTCTCATGGAATTCGCAGAAACAGGAGCTAGTTGCCCTGTCATCGGCGGAAGCAGAATTCATCGCAGCAACAGCAGCAGTTCGCGAAGGCCTCTACTTACAGGAACTCCTACAAGAGGCAAAAATCCCAGTTTCGCCTACCTTCCGCCTGCACTGCGACAACCAGATCGCGATCCGCATCGCGAACAAACCTGGTTTCGTCAACCGCACCAAGCACATTGCGCTGCAGTATTTCTTTGTCAAGGACGAAGTGGACAAGGGCAAGGTCAACTGGACGTACTGCCCAACAGGTGACATGGCAGCTGACTTCCTGACGAAGCGACTGCCACGCCAGCAGTACCAACACTGCTCCGAGCTTAGTGGAGTGGTCAAGCAGGTCAAGATGAGCTACGGCCAGGAGTGAAGGGGGGTGTTACGAATAGTAAAATATCATCATGCACTCCTGACCGCAGCTAAGTGAAGCACGCAGTATCGAGAATGAATGCGAGGAGTCAGAGTTGACCCAAAGCGATGCAGACGGTTAGAGAGGATCTGAACCGTCTGAGCAGACGGCATTGGGCAGCTGCAGGGAAGAGGGATTTGGCGGGAACAGTTTCGTAACTGTACGCACCGCACGGTTGGGAATGAATCTGAATAAGGGAATGTACCCCTTAGAGTACATGGCTAGCTAGGACGATTCGAATTCCCTGTACTCATATTTATACTTTCTGTATTTGCATGTTTTAATCATCTCAAGCATTTTACATTCACTCTGCTATTGAGGTCAAGGGCCCACCACCACAAAGTCAATAGTGTGCAAACCTTCCTAAGGTGATCCTGGCTACGATCAACTTCTGATCGTAACAGTACTTAGTTTGATGTCAATGCAATCATTCCTGCTCATTAGTTTATGACATGGGAAAGTGTCGCGAGAGAAGAGAGTGAAAGCAACGAGGGTGTGTCTTCAAGAGATGCTTCCGATGTGTCGTTTGGAGATGGTGGGAGGGGGCCCGACAAGTCTGATGGCTCACAGTCTGGTCTGAGCTCATTCATGCGCATTGGCTTGATGGGTGATGCCCTCTGGACTTTGCTGCAATAAATCAAACTAGATGGCGCTGAGTTCGGCCATCATGCCTAAATGTGGGCTACCGTATTTAGCACGGAACTAAAAATGCAGTGCTGCAGGCAGAAGCACTATGCAATATGGTAAGAGCACTTGGTGTATGTCTTGTTGAGACATGGATACGATTAATGTAATGAATGAGGTATGAAATGGGAGGCAAGAAGTACACAAGGTTTCGGGTTCAAATGAAAATGTGTGCTATGATTGGGAAATTACTGTCAAATATAATAGTTATAGGCTGTAGTGGGTTGCATTCTAGAGGGTACAGATGCTAGGGTTTCCTATTTGTATCCAACGCTTTGCTAGTTCATCCATTCCGTTGTTCGCTAACTTTGAGATGGTATCATCAGTAGGTGTCGATCCTCTCGCCTAGCCTAGCCTTGCTTGCGCCCTAGCTCCCTCCGCACCCTTGCGCCCTCCACGCCCTAGCGCCCTCCGCGCCCTCCGCGCCTTCGCGCCCTCCGCGCCTTAGCACCCTCCGCGCCTTAGCGCCCTCCGCGCCTTAGCGCCCTCCGCGCCTTAGCGCCCTCGCGCCCTCCGCTCGCCCTAGTGCCCTCGCGCCCTCCGGACACCCTTCGTCGCGTAGCCTCCCCTCCCCCTGCCCGTCACATCGCCTCCCCTCCCTCTGCCCGTCACGTTCCCCTGCCCTCCTCCTGCCCGTCGCGTCCCGTCGCCTCCCCCTGCCCGTCGCGTCGCCTCCCCTCCCTCTGCCCGTCGCGTTCCCCTCCCCTCCTCCTGCACGTCGCGTCCCGTCGCCTCCCCCTGCCCGTCGCGTCGCCTCCCCTCTCTCTGCCCATCGCGTTCCCTTCCCCTCCTCCTGCCCGTCGCGTCCCGTCGCCTCCCCCTGCCCGTCGCGTCGCCTCCCCTCCCTCTGCCCGTCGTGTTCCCCTCCCCTCCTCCTGCCCGTCGCGTCCCATCGCCTCTCCCTGCCCGTCGCGTCGCCTCCCCTCCCCCTGCCCATCGCGTTCCCCTCCCCTCCTCCTGCCCGTCGCGTACCGTCGCCTCCCCCTGCCCGTCGCGTTGCCTCCTCTCCCTGTCGCGTTCACTCCCCTCCCCATGCCTTAAGCCGCGCCCTGCCCTAAGCCGTGCCGTGCCCTCCGCAGCAACCTAGCCCTAGGCCACGCCCTCACCCTAGGCAGCGCCCTAGCCCGCGTTCAGCTCCAAACCCGCGCCCAGTTTGCGCCCTAGACCCGCCCGTGCCCAAACCGCCCACTCCTTCTTGTGCCGGCGCTCCCTCACCGTCTCGTGCGCCTTCGCCCACACTCGGCAGGTGGACCCTTTCCCACCACAGCCCTGTTCGCTGGGCCCTTGCTGTTCCTACTACCATTGGTATCTCGTTCAGCGGCTGGCAGCCGCTTCTCTCGCCGGTCACCTAGGTTAGACACGTGTATCCCCTCTCTCCTAGCCACTAGCCTCTAGCGCTCATCTCTGGCGTTCCTCGCCCTTTCACGCCTAGTCTAGGTCGCTCCGTATTCCTAGCCACTAGCTCCGCCGGCCTCTTGCTTCGCCACAGCTGGCGCTCCTAGCTTTCACTCCTCGTTCTTAGCTCCGCCTCCGCCGTGCTCTAGCCACCTCTAGCATGGCCTCCGTTATGGAATCCCGTCGCCTTCGTTTCGATGCGGAGGGACGCCTGATCGAGTTCGGTACCTGGCAGCGCCACACCAGCCGTTACCTCACCAGTCAGTGTCAGGACGGCGCCACCCTATGGGCCCACGCGTCTGGTGCCCTCAAGGCGCCCCAGTCCCCCGCCCCCCTGCCTACCGGCTCGGAGCCGACTCCTGTGGCCCAGGCGGATTACGACCGTCGGGTCCTGGCCAGGGACGTGTGGAACTCCCGCGACGCTGCCGCCGCTCTTGCGCTGACGGAGCTCCTCCCACCGACTGAGGCCGCCCACTTTGACCAGGTGGAGACAGCTTAGGGGATTTGGGATGCTATTTTTGCGCGCTATTCCACCCCTTCCTCTGCCTCCCTCAGTCGCCTCTTCATGCCGTTCGTGTTTCCCGACCTCGGCTCGTTTGCGACAGTGTCCAACCTAGTGACTCACCTCCGCTAACTTGACGCTGGTTTCCGAGCGGCCTGTACCGACGCCCAGCTTCTTGCTGCTCCCCCCCCCCCCCCATGTGGCTCACTGTACATTGGTTAGTCACCCGCCTCCCTGACCGGCTTGCCACTACTCGCGAGGCGCTTCTCCAAAAGCACCCCACGGAGCTTACTATCGATCTCCTTGAGACCACTCTCGGGACGATCGAGAGTAGCCTCCTCACCGTTGCCTCCGCCACTGACGTGGTGGCCCCCCGTCTCTTTGCGGGGTGTGCCGCCCCTCAGCTTCCCACTTTCACTGTTACCCGCGCTTCTGCTGCTGTATCGGTTTCTGGGGACACTGCTGCCGTTTCTGCCACAGACTGGCAGAAACGGGGCAAGAGTGGCAAGAAGGGCGGGAAGGGGGGAGGTGGAGGCGATGGAGGCGGCGGTGGAGGTGGCGGTGGAGGTGGGAGCGGCGGTGGTGGAGGTGGTGGCGGCGGCGGCGGCGGAGGTGCACAAGGCGGAGGGGGCCTTGGAGGAGGTGCAGGACAGACAGGCCCGCCCATTGGCGGTGGCCCGACCAGTGGGGGTGTTGGACCCCAGCAGCAGCAGTCGCAGCAGCACCAGCCACAGCAGGGACAGCAGCAGCAGCTGGGACCGCAACAGCAGTTCCAGCAGTGGGGGCCCCCACTAGCCCCCACTGCAGTGGGGTCCGCAGCAGCACTGGGGTCCCCCACCGCAGTGGGGTCCGGGAGGACCAGGGAGCACCGGCCGCAGCGGCAGCACTTCCAGCTGGGCCCCTCGCCCCCCTCGCCGTGACACTGGCCCCTGCACCCACTGGTGCCTCACCGGACTTGGCAGCCCCTGTCTCTGCGGTCGTGACTACCACTCTGCCGCACGGTGCTTCCGCCGCCTCGACGACCTCTACCGTGCTCGTTGGGGCCCTAAGGCAATCACGCCTCGCTGGGCTCACCTGTTAGCCCGTAAGATTGATGTGTTTGATCGGTCCATGGTCGATGCTCATCAACATGCTTTGTATGCTGATGTTGACGATAGTGCTGTCGGATCTGTGTGCTTGCGTATTCGTGGACTAGCTTGCTTGCCTCCTGCTAGTGTAGACTTGTGCCTTTCTAGTCTAGGTGCTTGTGTTGCTGCTCTAGGTGCTTGTGTAGTCACTAGGACAGGTGACTCTCCGGCTAAGGCGTCCCTGTCCTTCACGCTGGACTCTGGTGCGTCTCAGTGCTTCTTCCGCGACCACACGACCCTCACGCCTCTCCTCACTCCTATTTCGGTGGCTCTGGCTGATCCTACCTCAGGACCAGCCGTTGCGCGTAGCTCCACTACCCTCCCGTGTCCTGTGGTCTCATCTGGTGTCCTGCGTGGCCTCCATATCCCCTCGTTCACTCGGAACTTGGTGGGTGTTGGTTACCTCCAGGATAGGGGGATCACTGTTACCTTTGTGGGGTGTGGGAGGACTGCGGCCTGTACAGGCACTGCCACAGGTGCTGTTCTGGCCACGTTCATCAGGGAGCCCCGCTCCGGTCTCTACGTTCTTCACACTGAGCGCTCCCCGGTTGCGTCCTCCGCTCAGGTCGTCGCGTTCCCTCCAGTCCAGGCGTCCATTCCGGTTGCTGTGTCTAGCCAGGTGGTCGTGTCTTGTCCAGTTACAGTGTCTAGTCAAGTCGCGCTGTCTAGCCCAGTCGCTGCATCCTGCTCCTGTCGGTCCCTCACCCACCGGACCGTCTTGTGGCACCACCGCCTTGGCCGCCCGTCACTCCCCCGCCTCCGCGGGATGACCATTCACGGGCTTGTCACCGGTCTCCCACGCACCTTTCCATCGCTCCCCACCTCCCCTACTCCCCCTTGCACTCCTTGCCTCGCTGGTCGCTTACGCGCCACTCCCCACTCCTCCTCCCTTCGAGACCCTCCACTTGGACGTCTGGGGCCCTGCCCCGACGCAGGGGTCTGGGAGGGAGCGTTACTTTCAGGTGGTCGTCGACGACTTCTCCAAGTACACCACAGTGTTCCCTTTCGCGAAGAAGTCCGAGGTGACTCCTACGCTGATCCGGTGGCTTCTAGCCACTGAGGGCACTAGTGGTTGTCGTGTCAGTTGCCTACACTCCGATCGTGGGGGCGAGTTTTGCTCCGGCATTCTTGCCGGATTCTGCGGCGAATAGGGCATCGTACAGTCCTGGACGCTTCCGGAGTCCCCACAGCAGAATGGGGTTGTTGAGCGCCGCATTGGCTTGGTCATGGACATTGCTCGCACGTCCATGATCCATGCCCGTGCGCCCCATTTTCTGTGGCCCTACGCGGTTCGCTACGCCGCACACCAGCTGAACCTCCAGCCGCGCGTCTCACGGCCCGAGGCTTCACCGACCAGTCTTTGGACCGGGTCCCCTGGTGTTGGGTCGGTCTTTCGTGTCTAGGGCTGCCTTGCGCTTGTTTGCGACTCCTCCACGGACAAGCTCTTGGCACGCGCCGTCCCCTATGTCTTCCTTGGTTTCCCGGTGGACTCTGCTGACCGGTCCTTTTACCACCCTCCCCTCCACCAGTTCTTAGACTCCCGTGACGTCCGGTTTGACGAGTCCGCTACTACACCCGGTACCCCTGACGAGGTCTCCCGGTACCCCCTCCCCCCCTCTTCCTCGCACCCTCTCCTCCTCCTGCTCCCGCTCCACCGGTACCCCCGCCCCCCCCTGGTCCTGCCCCGTCTGGTGTGTCCCACGCTACCCCTCTACCCGCGGTCGCGCGTCAGGTAGCGTCTCCCTCCCCGCAGTCCTCCTCACAGTCCCCTTAGCAGCCTTCGGCACTTCCGCAACAGGTTCCTGTGGACTCGGTTGGTGCTGGAGCTGGAGGTGCTGGCGCAGGTGGCGCTAGCTCTGGGGGTGCTGGAGCTGGAGGTGCTGGCACTAGAGGTGCTAGTTCTGGGGGTGCTGGAGTTGGAGGTGGTGGTGCTAGTTTTGGGGGTGCTGGAGTTGTAGGTCTTGGCACTAGAGGTGCTGGTTATGGGGGTGCCGATCCTGGAGGCGCTGGCACTGGAGGTGCTGGTTCTGGGGGTGCTGGTGCTGAAGGCGCTGGCACTGGAGGTGCTGGTTCTGAGGAGACTGGAGCTGGAGACACAGGTTCTGCGCAGTCCACTCAGCCTCCCCACCGCCACGACATGCGTCTCCAGGCGGCCCGTTGGCGTGAGCGTGATGAGCAGGTGCTGTTGGAGAGGGAGCTGCGGGAGTTGCGGCGGTTGGACCTGCTGGAGCAGCAGCAGCAGCAGACACCACTGCCGCAGATGCGACCGCAGCAGCTCCCCCTGGAGCGGCAGTTGTTCCCACCCGTGAGTGGCCTTCGAGCCCTTGGTCTTCCCTCCTCTCCTCCTGTTCACACTCCGTCCCCTCCAGCATTTGGTCCTATGTTTCCTCCTCCTGACGCCAGTCCGGCGGTCTGGTCTTCTCCTCCACTGCAGTCTCCTCCACCTGTTGTCTCGCACTCTCGTGTCCGTCCCTGTCCTCCGCGTGCTCGTCACTCGTCTCCTGTTCCCGACCTCCGCACAGCCCTCCTTTGGTCGTCTCTTTGTTGTCCTCCTCCTGAGTCCATTCTCCCGTCTCCTCCTCCGTCCTCTCTCCCTTCCCCCCCTACTCCTGTCACTGACTACTACCGTGCCGGTTGTCCTGTTGTCCCTTGTGTCCTCGCCACCCTTGTCACCGACTCTCGTTTCCCTCCGTCGTCTGTCTCGGCTCTCACTACCGCTATCGCTGAGTTTGCTGCTGCCAGTCGCCTTGACTACACCACCCGTGTGGTGCCAGCTCCTCCCTCTCGTCCTCTGTCCGTCGGGGGTGAGTTTGCCCTTGGCTGTGACGTCCTAGAGGATAGAGAGTCTGAGCTGGAGTACTGGGCAGCCGCTTCTCCCTCTGTCTGTGCCATGCTCCTATCCCCTAAGGGAGACCCCGACGCCCTTGGCATACCGACTCCTCGCACTTACCGCGAGGCAGTGTTAGGGTCGTGGGCCTCACAGTGGAAAGCGGCTAGGGCCTCGGAGTTAGCGTCTT